CACAAGGATTGTAAACAGTAGAAAAACAATACGTCATGTTATATAATAACTGTAAAAATTGCATATATCTTTCACAGTTATTCCAATCATCATCATACAAAGCATTTTGTGGAAATTTTTGGTTGTAAAATAATGTTAACGGGCCCTTGTACTCAATTGCCTTTGTTAACATGTCATAGGTGGAATTCCACCTAGTTGGGCAATCGGTTCTAATTTTTATTACCCTTATCTTTTGTTGTTTTAGAAAACTCTTCCATTCTTGGTATCTCATGTTAGAGCTATTAATAGACATAATAGCATCTCTGATTTTGCTGTAGTATGGGCCAATTGCCCGAACTCCATCCTGTACACATAAGTTAAGTACATGGCAAACACATCTAGTATGAAGAGCTTCACCGTCTAATAGTACATCGGTTAAGTTTTGTTTGATAAGATTAGCTGTGTATGTCATAGAGGTTGCATTATCAAAAGTCATAGACATCATTTTATCTCGAAGGTTGTATTCGTCTATTGCTTGCATTAAATGGTGAGCAATGTTAATGCCGGTGTGTGGGTATTCCAGCATTTTGAAATGTATTATTCTTTTTTGTAACATCCATTGATCATCTACCCAATGGCAAGTCACACATAAATAGTGATATTTATAACCACTATCCCAAGAATCGGCTGTTAAAGATACTCTACAGTTAAGGTTACTCAATTCGGCTTGTAACCGGACTTTGTACTCTAGGAAATTTTTCATTGCTGCGGAACGAACGGTTTTCCTAGAGATTCTTTTATGTTGGGGTTGTAGTGCTTTGTTAATGTAGGTGTTGAATGCGTCACTTTCCGAGAAAAGAAAAGGTTGTTCAGCGTGTACTATCATTTTTCCTAGTTCATCCCTATCCCTCTCATAGTTGTATGTAAAGCCGTATGGATGGAATTGGGAAATTTTGGGCTGGGTTGGATCACTAGCTGGTTTTGCACAAGCTTTCATGTGTCTAGATAAGTGTCCCGTCCCGTTTTTGGTAACTGCCGTGAATACACTATTACATGTTTTACATTTTGCCCATTGTTCACCATCTTTACTTAGGACAAAATAACGCCATACCTCACTCCTTCGGTTTTTCAAAAGTAGCATCTCAGTTTCGGTTAACCATTCATGATGTGTGTATTGGTTAGTAGGGGGACTAGTGGGAGTGGCAGTAGAAGGGGTAGTAGAACCGGAGGGAATTCGGGTACTTTCTTGGCTACCTTGGCTAGAACAATAGTTTTGTTGATTACCGATATAATTAGGTGGAAATTGGTATGGTGGTTGTGGAAATTGGTTTAGTGGTGGTGCTGGAAATCCCGACGTATTATATGGCTCATAGCCCGGGGGGAAGTAAATGGGGTCATTGGTTTGACTCGTAATTTGGGGGCTCGTTGTATTTGGTGGTTCCCTAGAACTACTACTACGGATAAGTCGGCCTTTCCCCCTAGACCTAGATGATGGGTTGTTCGATGCCATAATTAACAATTAATTTTTTAATAAAAAGTGGTTAACTATAATAATAATAATTAATAACAACAATTTTAACAATAAAAATATCAATAATAATAATTAATAACAACAACTATAACAATAACAATAACAACAAAAATAAATAATAACAACAATTGTAACAATAATAATAATTAATAACAACAATTATAACAACAACAATAACAAATTAACAATTAACAACAATAATAATTAAACAAGATTATTCTAATAATAACAATAAAACAATAATAAATTTAAGATTAGTTTAGATCTTACAACCGTGCTTCAACGCTCCACTAATTACGATTACGAACTTTTTAATTTTTTCCGATATTAGGAAAATAATTAGAGAATTTAAGAGAATAATTAGAGAATTTAAGAAAATAAGGATTATTAGAGATTTAGAGAATATAAGAGATAAGAAGAAGAGATTGTGATTTTGTGATTTGGGAATGAAATGGAGGTGAGTATTTATAGAATTTTTGGCAAAAAACTAGCCGTTTATAGCCGTTTAACTAGCCGTTTAACTAGCCGTTGGCCCGCGGGCCGTGCTTTCGGGCCGTGCCTTCGGGCCGTGCCTGCGGGCCAGCACGGCGGGCCTTGCTCGTGCTCGTGCCGGGCCGTGCCTGGGAATTCTCCACCGTGTCCGTGGCACGGCCCGTGGCACGGAAGTCGAACTTCGTGCCGTGCCGGGCTGCTCTTCGGGCCGTGCCGGGCTGCTCCGAACGGCGGGCCGTGCCGGGCGGCACGCGGGCCAACCCGGCCCGTGCCCAGGTTTAGATAGAACTAATTATCCACTTATTCATATATACTTATATATATAATTTTCGGATATTTCACAAAAAATTAATATCTAATTTTCCTTTTTTTTTTGCCCCTTTTTTTTTGTAAAATTTCCTAACCTAATTATCTTTTAATTTTTTGATATCCTAAGCAAAGAAAATCTGATTTTATTACTCGTATGCTAATTGTGTCAAATTTATTAAGTTTTTTCTAATTATTTTATTTATGTATAAAATCATCTTACTAATATTGACGAAAATTATGCATTGATATGACATGTATAATGTGAAAAAAAAACAAATTCATATATGTTTCATGATAGAAAATTATTTTAGACTTTATTTAAAAGAAAAAAAAATAAAATAAAAACTTCCAACATTTCTTATGTACAAAATAAATTATAACATTCAATAAATATCTTATATGTCTATTACGGAGAATTTAAAACAAGATCCATTTAAGATTATTTAAATCAATTAATAGTAAAAAACTTCACAACCTTGTATGATTGTTATATTGTACATCTTAAATTTTTGTAAGACATTGTGGATATTATTTAATTAAATCAAGATCTGCCAAAATTTGAAGACTTTGGGTGAAACCAATCGTACACAAGTATTCCAAATTCTATCAATCTCTCATTTAGATATTATATAGGCAGTCAAATATGAGTACTATTAAAGACATTAAAATCACAATCTATCCTAGAAATATCATTCAATAACATGAAAATGGGTGCTACTCCAAACTGATTTCTTCTAATATATTGATCCGATCATGCTATTTACATCACTTTTAAGAACTACCAAAAAGTCCAAGCTCTTTCTCGAAACTACCCACTGCTTTATGAGGTATAGTAATATTTAAATTTAAATTCATATCAAGTTTCATTGCCAATTTAAGTTCATATCAAGATTCATTATTACGGAGTATTCCAAATTCATGTCAAGCTTCATTGCAATTTATTTAATTGCATGATAATACTTTTCCCATTGCAACTTGCATAGCTCATAATATTATATACTCCTTCCATTTCATATTATTCGCAATAATTAGACATTTTTTTACTCACACTTTGTGTCAAATCATTGCAAATAATATGAAATGGGGGTAGTATTTAATTCATCCAAAAACTAAATTATCAAATCAACGTTTATGGCTTCTTTGGTTTAACAAAGTAGAGTGAACTGGACTGAGAACTCATCTCAAGGTCATATTGATTAGAAACCCAATACCATATTAAATTTGTTTGATTTAGATGTCAATAAATTTATACTTCCTCTGTTTTTTTAATACTTGCAACACACATTCTTAGCACGTGATTTGATAAAATGATTAAACTATGTAAACGAACAAAAAAAGATACTACCTTCATTTCAATTTATTTGCAACAATGTGACATTCATCAACATTTAAGTAAAAATATTTGTAAGTGGTAAATGGAGAGAAAATCTTCGTTACAAATAATTTGTAGTATCCATTTATGGTGGATGTTGCAAAAAAAAAAAAAAAAAAAAAAAAAAATTGAAATGACAATATTATAAAATTTAAACAGCATCAACTTATTACGCTCTTCATATCTGTGGTAAAATTTATCAATTTATTCGTCCGTTTTACTAGTCTAATATTTTCATTAAAGTGCGTGCTAAAGTTGTGTGTTCCAAGTAAATAGAAAGAAGAAGTAGTAATGGAGTAATGTTATGTATTTGTTGGTACATAACATGACAATTCGTAAATATTTTTAAAATTAACAATTCGTAAATATTTTTAAATTAACATTGGTACCACTGAGGTGTGAAGCGTATCACTGTTAGTACATTGGTACTGTAAATAGCTAAAATTACTATATATTGTTACAATGGTATACTTTTGAAGCTAATATATGTACCACTAGGTTGTGAAATCATGTCATTAGAATGTAATGGTATAATAGTAGTTGTAATGGTACTAAAATGACTATAATGATACAATTAAAACCTGAAAATTAAAGTGATAACATATGATCCCATCACCTTTTTGTTGTACTAAGTTACCATTATACCTTTGTTAAGTTGTTATGTAGCAATAGATACATAACATTATTCCCTTTAAAACTCTTTAAATAAAAATGGAGGAAGTATTTAGTAACAGATTGTGTTTAGGGAAAAATGGAAATTAAACTTAAAAAGGGAAGGTGAGTATGAGTTTGAGATTGTAGAAGATTGAAATAGAGTTGGATACTACTTTCAGAAAAATTAATATGGGGTCACATATGTAAATAATAATAAAATGTGTTGATCGTCATATACTTAAGCCAAAAATTAAAATAGCCGGTTAAATGATGAAGTTTGGTTGTGTGATAAATTTCGATGTATTGTGGAAGAAATAATGTGGAGATAGTGGAGTAATATTTTTCACTTTGGTGACTAGTCAAATTAATCGTATTACAATTAAGGTAACATTAATTGGTTATGGCCCCTGGTGTATGTTTTATTAGTGTTTACTCATTAGGATATAACGGAAAAAAGGTGAGTGAAAAGGGAGCAATTATGATACAGACTCCTTATTGAACGTTTTTCCAATTTGAGCTCTAAACGTAAACTAATGACAAAAATGGTTGCGTGGCAAAACTATTTACCAAACTAAGCTTCCAGGGTAAATCGCTGTCTCGGACAGCGTTTTACCCCTGGTTTTTTTTTTAAAAAAAAATTCAACTACAACTATTTTATATGTTCAACATAAAGCGCTGTCTCAGACAGCGCTTTATGCTTGAACATAAAGCGCTGTCTCAGACAGCGCTTTTCTGCTGGAAACAGCAACCAGCATCCAGGCAGAAAACAAGCTTCAGCAAACAGCTTGCATGCTGCAGTCCTCCAACAGCCACCACAACAGCCAGCTCCACAGCCCTACCCCACCACCGTCGACCACCAACTCCGCCACTCCCCACCACGTACCACCACCATATTCTGGGAGTTCCGTCAACTTTAAGCACTGCAGAAAACTCGAAACAGCCCAACAACAGTCCAACCACCAAATTAACTTCAAAGCACACACGGAGTCATTCAAAAAAGATTTATTATATTAATTTCATAAGTGTTATGTACATCATTACACAAAATAACAGGGAATACAACAGATAATACTAGCCCGACTCATTTATTCGGGGTAAAGGTCCTGCCTCCTGAGTGTCGGCCCTCCGTCTGACACGTCGCCGCCTGTAATGAGTGACGGTGGTGAATGGGTCTCGGGGCGGTGGGGGAGTCAGCTGACTGGACGAGGGGTCCTCCTGGGTACCAGAGGGCGCAGTACTGTGGATGTTGTAATCCTCTGCGTGTCTGGGTGACGTAGGATCACATCCACCGCTGCTCTGGCCGAGATCGAACTGTGAGTTGCCATCATGACCGTCCCGCCGGTGGGCGAGATGAGCGTGACCATATCTCCGTAAGGTAGCGACGCCCATATCTCGCACCTGCTCGACCTGGGCTCTAGTGGGTCCGCACTCAAGGGAGACTGATAGCGCATCAACCATCGCCACCATATCCGCCGCCTGCAGTAATCATCGATCAGTCAGATCTATGGCATACAAATATGGAAATTGTTGAAAAGGAGTAGAAAAATAATAACTCACATATCCGCTAATGATGTCATATGCTGGATGGTAATGTGTGGATGGTGGTGCGTAGCTGGGGTTGATGAAGCGTCGTGTGATACGCCTGTACCACACCATGTACGGATCGTCGGGATCCATAGCCCCCTGCATTAGATCACCTCCAACGATGAACTCCAACCGTTGCTCCCATAGCTGAAGGAAACGCCAATGCTCCAGCGCCCAGCTGGTCTCCCCCTTTCCCCGACGATCAATGCCGTGAAGCTGTACACTAGTGTCACACCCCTGTGGGATAGTCTGGCGTAGTCCAAACTGCCTCATGACTCGGTCGGGCAGGTGACTCTCCACAACCACGAAACAGATCAGGGGGACCCTAGCACGCCACTCCGCCTGATGGTCTAGCAGATGTGGAGGCATGGCATCTACCAAGTCAGGTACATACGGGTCCCATGTCACCTGTAAATACACATCAACAGTAATATTATGAATATGTTAGTTCGCAACAAGTACAATGTTAAAACAAAAAAGCTAAAACTGTATTTTAAATTGTTACCTGGTCCTCGGTGAGTCGGTCTAGGGCGTCTCGGTAATACGTTGAGGTTGAGTCGGTTTAGTGTGAGAGGGAGGAGGGAAAGCGTTGAGGTTGAGGTTGAGTTCTTGCGCATTCTGCTGAAGTGAACATGCTGATATATGGCCATGAAACGCTGTCCCGGACAGCGTTTCATTTAAAAAAAAAACAGGGCATAAAACGCTGTCTCGGACAGCGTTTTACCCATTGAATTTTTTTTAAAAAAAACCCAAGGATAAAACGCTGTCCGAGACAGCGTTTTATGCCCTACTGAATTTAAAAAAATACAGAAGGTAAAACGCTGTCTGGGACAGCGTTTACCAGTTGAATTTTTTTAAAAAAAAAAACCAGGGGTAAAACGCTGTCCGACCTGGAAGCTTAGTTTGGTAAATAGTTTTGCCACGCAACCATTTTTGTCAATAGTTTACGTTTAGAGCTCAAATTGGAAAAATGTTCCTCCTTATTTTCATCTGTCGTTACACTTTGATTTCTTTATATCTCATCATTGGAGAATCAAAGGAGCACACACAAAGTTAGTAAAACATAGTACTGGAAGGCTTAATCAAAGAAAATTACTACTGAAAAAGAAATCAGAAGACTAGCTCTCTCTGTCACTAATGACTGTCATGGAAACTCAAGGTATGTCATTCATATAATTAGAGCTTCACTTCTTGAATTTACATGGTTTTATGTTACGTTTTGCGGGTTTAATCTAACAATTGATATCAGAGCCGACCTTGTTTAGATCCATGAAGTTAAATTGAAATTGGAAACAAATATTGCCTTCCCTTGCTATTTAATTTTACTTTATAGCTTAATCCTTCAGCTTGGTTTAATTTGCATGTGGGTTGTTTTGTTTTTTGCCGACTTAGTGTTTGTTTCCAATTGAAGATCCTTTTTAAATGGCATACTTTGGTAAATTAAATGATACTCAAGGGGCTTTTATGTCCAATCTTATAATTTCCCCTTGTTTTACACTTCGTTTACTTCTTATTAGGAGTACTGAGTTTAGTAATATTGAATTAATATGACTAATATTTATATAGTTCTGTGAATTTTTTGGTTTTTGATGGAGTATAATGAAAAAACTACATCACCAAAGTGATCCCTATTGTGTAATTTTCTCATTAAGTAGTGATAAATAATAGAAAAAGCGCTTGTATCTATAATTTATGCGAACAAAAACCTGACCCAAAGGAAGGTGGATGTCTAATCAAGATTAATTTATACACCTGTGATAATAAACATGTAACAATTAACTAGTATAATATGTGAATAATAAATTAACCCAAAGGTGAGTTTATTTTTTTGCATATATTATTGTTACTGTTTGATAATCACATCAAGAGTACCACTAGCTGTTAATGTTACTGTCCAAAGACATAATGTTATTGAGCATTTGGTATCTTATGATAAGTCATTCTATTATTTGAAGTATTGATAATATCCCTAAATTATAGTTTACTTTGAGCATGAATATTTATATTGTTTCCCTTGTTCTTTTTTTTTCCCTTTTCTTTTCAAGCCAATGTTTCTAGCATATTTGCTAATCTGAATTCAATTCCGGTCCTTAACGGTGCCAAATTTAAGGAATGGAAGGAAAATGTTTAGATTGTTTTGGGTTGTATGGACTTAGACCTTGCATTAAGAGATGAGCAACCCCCTTCTCTTACAGACTCTAGTATTGTAGATTAGAAAAAATATTATGAGAAGTGGGATCGCTCAAATCGCATGAGTCTAATGATCATAAAGCGTGGAATTCCAGAAACCTTTAAGGGTGTGGTATCCGATGAGGTTACCAGTGCCAAGGATTTCCTTGCCGAAATTGAGAAGCGCTTTGCAAAAAGCGATAAAGCTGAAATAAGCATGTTGTTGAACAGCTTAACATCCAAAGAATATAAAGGAAAAGGAAATATAAGAGACTACATAATGAAAATCTCTCACATTGTTTCAAGACTCAAGATCTTAAAAGTTGAAATATCATAAGATATTCTTGTACACTTGGTCTTGAACTGTCTTCCTGGAACTTATGATTCATTTAAGGTAAGTTATAACTTCCAAAAGGAGAAATGGTCTCTTAATGAGCTCATTTCATTTTGTGTTCAAGAGGAAGAGAGGCTGAAACAAAACAAGACAGAAAGTGCTCACTTGGCTAGCACCTCTAAGGACAAGGGCAAAAAGAGGAAATCAAGTGTTGCTAAGAATGAAGTTGCTAATGGTTCGAAACAAAAGAAACAAAAGGATGGTGAAAGCAATTGTTTATATTGAAAAAAAACCTAGGCATATGAAGAAGGATTGTACCAAATACCATGCTTGGATAGTCAAAAAGGGGTTGTCTGAGCCACCGCAAGCCAAATAATGCTGAAAGATGCATTTATGTGGGAGATGGAAAATCGGTTGAAGTGGAAGCTATTGGGCATTTTAGATTGTTATTATCTTTTGTTTCTACTTAGATTTAAAAGACACTTTCATTGTACTGTCTTTCAGACGAAATTTGGTTTCAGTTTCCTACTTGGACAAATTAGGCTACTCTTGTTCGTTTGGAAACTCTCAGGTTACATTGTCTTTAAATAAAAGTATTGTAGGAACTGGTTCTTTTGTTGCTTATGACATTCTTTATATGCTTGATACAATAGTTTCCTATCATGAAAGTTTAAATGTTGAATCTCGAGGTACAAAACGCAAAATTGATGATGCACAATCAGGAACTTTATAACACAAACGCTTAGATCACATCTCTAGAAATAGAGTTAAGCGACTTGTCTCTGATGGGATACTTAATTCCATTGATTTTACAGATTTCAATACATGTGTTGAGTGCATTAAAGGAAAACAAACCATACATAAGAAATCAAGTGCATATAGGGCTACAAACGTCTTAGAACTAATACACACTGATATTTGTGGACCATTTACTACTCCCTTTTGGAATGGTCAACAATATTTTGTGTTTTTCATAGATGATTATTCAAGATACGAGTACCTATTTCTTATCCTTGAAAAATCCCAAGTCTTGGACGTGATCAAATCATATAAGGCTGAAGTTGAAAACCAACTCAACCAGCGCATTAAGAATGTTAAATCTGACCATGGTGGTGAACTACTACGGTAGATATGATGGTTTAGGTGAGCAACGTCCAGGGCCGTTTGCCAAATACCTAGAGGAGTATGGGATTGTTCCTCAGTACACCATGCCAGGTTCTCCTAGCACGAATGGTGTAGCTGAAAGACGAAACAGAACCCTTAAAGATATGGTAAGGAGTATGATTTGTCATTCAATCTTACCTGAGTCACTCTAGGGCGAGGCATTAAAGACTGCAACTTATTACATTCTAAACAGAGTGCTAACTAAAGCTGTTGCTAAGACAACTTATGAGCTTTGGATAGGAAGGAAACCGAGCCTAAAGCACTTTCGTGTATGGGGTTGTCCAGTTGAGGCACGACCTTATAGGCCGCATGAAAAGACATTGGCACCCAAGACAGTCCGTAGCTACTTTGTTGGCTATTCAGAGCGATCTAGAGGATATAAGTTTTATGATCCCAATGCTAACACTATTTTTGAGACGGGAACTGCCACATTCTTTGAGGATGTCGAGTTTGGTGGGAGAAATGAAGTTAGAGACATTGTCTTTGAGGAAGAATCGGTCTCAATTCCTGAATTGTCATATAGGTTATGAAGAGGCTCAACAAGACATTGTTATGTCTTCTCCTAATCAAACTGAAAAATGTAGTACATAATGAGCAAACTCGACAACTTCAAGAACATATGCAACAAGAAGAATTACCCTTACGACGATCCACTAGAGAAAGGAGAAGTGCAATTCCGGACGATTACATTGTCTTCCTCCAAGAACATGTGACCAGCATGGAAATAGTGGAAGATGTCCATGTATTTCTCCAAGAACATGAAGAGAATAATGGTTTGGTAGAAGATGATCCCATCAGTTTCCGTCAAGCCATGAAATGTTCTAATTCAGAAAAATGGATCATAGCAATGAATGAAGAGTATAAGTCTATGCAAGATAATAAAGTTTGGGAACTTGTCCCATTACAAAAAGGTGCAAAACCCATTGGTTGTAAGTGGATATTCAAAACCAAAAGGGATTCTAAAGGTAATGTGGAGAGGTATAAAGCTTGTCTTGTAGCAAAAGGCTATACACAAAAGGAAGGGATTGACTATAAAGAGACCTTTTTTCCAGTTTCATCAAAGCACTCTTTTAGAACAATCATGGCTCTTGTTGCACATTTTGATTTAGAACTCCATCAGATGGATGTGAAAACAGTGTTTCTCAATGGTGACATTGATGAAACAATTTACATGGTGCAACCAGAAAACTTTGTATCGAGAGATCCAAAGAAGATGGTTTGTAAATTAAGAAAATCCATCTATGGGTTAAAACAAGCATATCTCGCCATGGTACCAAATTTCATCATTCAATTCTCTCATTCGGTTTTGAGATGAACATCATAGATGATTGTGTATACCATAAATTTAGTGGAAGCAATTTTATTTTTCTGGTCTTATATGTCGATGATATTTTACATGCCACCAATGATAAAAGGGATATGCTATATGGGACTAAGAAATCCCTATCAGATAATTTTGAAATGAAAGATCTTGGTGAGGCCTCCTTTGTGTTAGGAATTGAGATACTTCGTGATAAATCACAAAGTATTCTAAGGTTATCACAAAGGAATTATATTGACAAAATCTTGAAAAGATTTGGCATGCAAGATTGCAGACTAGGAGATACACATGTTTCTAAGGGAGATAAATTTAGCCTTGGTCAATGTCCTAAAAGTAATCTGAATTGAAGAATTGCAGAAGGTTCTCTATGCAACAGTTGTAGGGAGTTTAATGTATGCTCAAGTTTGTACACACCCAGATTTAGCGATCATCGTTGTAATGTTGGGTAGATACCTTAGCAATCCAGGTATGGATCACTAGAAGGCGGCCAAAAGGGTTATGAGATATTTGAAGAGAACAAGAGACTATATGCTCACTTACCAAAGATCTGACAATTTGGAGATCGTTGGGTATTCTGACTCTGATTTTGTCGGGTGTGAAGACTCTAGTAGATCTACTTCAGGATATGTTTATCTACTAGCAGGTGGTGCCATATCATGGAAAAGTGCTAAACAAGGAATCATAGCTACTTCTACTATGAAAGCCGAGTTTATTGCATGTTTTGAGGCATCCAATAAAGGATTATGGCTGCGTAACTTCACCATAGGGCTACAGATCGTAAACGAGGCTGAAAGTCCGATTAAGTTGTATTGTGACAATAAGTTTGCAGTACTTTATTCCAACAACAATAAAAGCTCAAGTAAATAAAAGTATATTATAGTTAAGTATAGAGCTATTAGAGAAAGAATCCAGAATAAAGAGATTTCTATAGAACATATAAGGACAAACTCCATGTTAGCAGCTCCTCTCACAAAAGGTCTGCCAACAAAAGTTTTTCATGAGTATGTTACTCACTTAGGAGTCTTAATGTCTGAAGATTCTTAAGTTCAGTGGGAGTGTTGTCATTTTGATGTTTTATATTGAACATATGCATTTAATTTGTTGTTTATGTTTTGTTTTTCCTTTCTGATCAGAAATAAAGTTTTATTTTCAGTTTACAGTATTTTGGAAGTTGGAGTTGTTAAAGTGCTATAAAGTGCCAATTGAAAAATCAACAAGAATAAGCCACTTTCTTGTGTTTTTCATGCTGCACATTAATGATTGATCTATGTCATTAGCTTATATTAATATTGGTGATTGTTGATAGTATAGATATGGTTTATTCATAATGTTACTGCAATAGTCCTATATTGATATGATCAATGGACAAGATTGTTTTCTTATGACGATATTTTAAGCTCATAAAGAATGACACATTATTACAACACATACGTGACCCAATGGGAGATTGTTAGAAAAATTAATATAGGGTCACATATGTAAATAATAAAACGTGTTGATCGTCATATACTTAAGCCAAAAATTAAAATTTTCAGATAAATGATGAAGTTTGGCTATGTGATATATTTCGATGTATCATGGAAGAAATAATGTGTAGATATCGGAGTAATATTTTTTAATTTGGTGACGGGTCAAATTAATCGTATTACAATTAAGGTAACATTAATTGGTTATGGTCCACGATGTATGTTTTATTAGTGTTTACTCATTAGGATATAACGGAAAAAAGGGGAATGAAAAGGGGAGCAATTATGATACGGACTCCTTATTGTCATCTGCCGTTACACTTTGATTTCTTTATATCCCATCATTGGAGAATCAAAGGAGCACACACAAAATTAGTAAAACATAGTATTGGAAGGCTTAATCAAAGAAAATTCATACTGAAAAAGAAATCAAAAGACTTGCTCTCTTTGTCACTAATGACTTCCATGGAAACTCAAGGTATGTCATTCATGTAATTAGAGCTTCACTTCTTGGATTTACATGGTTTTATGTTACGTTTTGCGGGTTTAATCAAACAATTAATAGTATGAAACTACACCGCATAATATGTCCAGCCAAAAATTAAATTGGACAGAGGTTGATTGAATTCATGCTTCAAATTTTCAGTATGATATGAATTTGTGATCAGGCAAGAGTGGCAGCCTATAGCATAGAAGAGTTTTTTATCATCAAAATCAATTGGACACTAGGGGTGAGCATGGATCGGATATCTGAAAATGCAGATATTTGATATCCATATTCGATCCAAAAATTTTCGGATATTCGGTATGATATTCGAAAAAATTTCGGATCGGATAGTTCGGATATCCAATATCCGACCTCTCTAATAATTTGGTTTTTTACACGAATAATAATGTTAAAATACTAATTTATTGACAAAATTAATTTGTTTTTAAAGGCAAATTAATATATACATTCATGACTGCAAAATCAAACTCATAATTACAAGCTATTCATATATTTTGAGTCTAATAATCCTACAAATTTCAGAATATTATAATTCACAAATTTCAAAATCTAAAATCAAAGATTAACACATACCAATAGAAAAAATTAAAATAAAATAAATATAAAATAAAAACCAAAGATTAATTTGGTATAAATCAGAATAAAAATTAAAGAATCCTTGTAAGACTTATATACAAAATAAATCATTTAAAACCAAATTAAATGAAAAAAAAAAAAAATTTGAATGTAGATGTTTAGTGAGGTGAAATCGGCAAGTTGTGAGAGCTGAGACTTGTGAGGACGAAGGCAAGCTTCCGGTTGTGAGGACAAAGGCAAGCTTCTGGTTGTGACTTGTGAGGACGATGGCAAGCTTGCGGTTGTGAGGACAAAGGCGCGGGGTAGGGGGGTCTGAGTTGTTAAAGGATTTTGGGGAAATGTTAAGGAGAGAGTGAAGCAGCCATGAAGAGGAAGGAGGAGATCTGAATTCTGAGAGAGTAAGGAGGAGAGAGAGAGATGAAGGAGGAAATGGATGATAGAGAGAGAGGAGAGAGAAAGAGGCGATGGGGAATGATATTAGAGCATGCACAATGGTAGGGATTCATGAATCCTCTTAATTCTTCTCTCTCATTCTCTCCTTTTGACACATCATTTCTCTTTCTTCCACATCATTTTCCACTATCTCCATCCTCTTCCTCTTTCTTTATTTTTTCCCACAACAAATGAATCCCCTTCCTTTCTATTTATGCCCCACCATCTTCTATTAAATTAGATATTTGCAAATTTAATATGACAAATTATTATAATTAGATTAATGACAATTTTAATATATTATAAAAATGTACAATTAATGATAATTTAAAATGCATAATTAGTAAATAGAACGGTCGTCACACATATAATAAATATTTAAAAAGGAACATTGCAATACATTATGTAAAAAGACAATTCATGAAATTCGGAAACATAAAAATACATTAAAAGCCGATAATTTAAAAACGAGAAACTAAATCATAAATACGTTTTATTTTTAAGGTGAGTTGACAAAAGTGCTCCCAAACCTAGCCCCTATATGTTCTAGCAAATCATTCTTCAAGATGTATTAATTTGTTTACCACGAAGATTTTCTCGTGTAGCCATCATTGTAGCTAAATTTTGATCTTTATAACGCCCAGGGGTAACGGTGAAAGTTGTTGCTCTTCTCCTTGATGATCCTGCTAGATTCTCAGGTTGTTCGGTGGAAAATTCCGTTGGATCCCAATAATTCATGTAATTATCGCGCTCATCTTTTACAATCATATTGTGCATGATAATACACGCCATCACGATTGTCCATAGCATTTCGACACTCCATGCCAAAGCCGGATGTAATTATTGCAAATCGAGCTTGTAGCACACCAAAAGCACGCTCAACATCTTTTCTAATACTCTCTTGTTTGATTGTAAACAACTTCTGTTTAGGGGTTTGTGGGGAGGTAATATCGGAAATAAATGTTGCCCATTTTGGATAAATCCCATCTGTGAGATAATATCCTTGGTTATAGGTATTTCCATTCACAGTGAAATTAACTTGTGGAGCTCGACCATTTAAAATATGGTCAAAGACGGGAGAACGTTGAAGAACGTTTATATCATTGCACGTCCCTGGCGTGCCAAAAAAGGCATGCCAAATCCGTAAATCCCAAGAAACAACAGCTTCTAAGATCACCGTCGCCCTTTTAGATCTTCCTTGATACATTCCTTTCCACCCAGCTGGACAATTTTTCCACTCCCAATGCATGCAATCGATGCTCCCCATCATGCCAGGAAAACCCCTTTCTTCCCCTTGTTTAAGGAGACAAACAAGATCTTCGGCTTTTGGCTTCCGTAGGTATTCTGTTGAGAATTCACGAATCACTCCATCAACAAAGTGTATAAGACATTCTCTTGCCGTACTTGCCCCAAGTTTTAGATACTCATCAATTTGATCAGTTGGGCAACCATATGCTAACATTCTAATTGCTGCAGTGCATTTTTGAATTCCAGAAGCACCCAGTTGCATTGTGGCATCTGGATGTTGTTGAAAAAATCTATCAGTTGCACTCAACGTATTAACTATCTTCATGAATAGAGGTTTTCGCATACGAAACCTACGTCGAAACTTTTCATCGCTGTATAATGGATGGTCACTAAAGTAGTCTGTAACTAACCGATCATTTGCTCCTTCACGATCTCTTGGAACGATCCACCTTAACATTTTTTCACGTCGTGAACCATGAACTTCTTGTTCTTGTACATCAGTGTTAACAACATATCTTACTGTATCCTCTATCACTTGTTGTTGTCGATTTTCCTCAATAAAATCTAACAACATGAAATCGTATATTTCATCACTAGAAGTAGAAGAACTAGAATCAAAATTCATTTTACGATTTTTTGATAATATTTGTGTAAAACTGAATGTTAATATTTGTATGACATGTGAATGAAACTGGTCAATATATAGACAATTTGATCCACATGAACTAAGTAATAATGCAAGAGATTATTTTAGTAACACATTTCAAAATTTGAATTATGAGACGTCAGAAGATTAGATTTTTGCATGACAATAATCTATAGCTTTGCAGAGATATGTATGGTTTTACAGAAAAGTTGACATATGAAGTAGATGTATCAATGCATGAAGTGACTACACACTGAATTTTGTTTTTTGTTTTTTACCACTACTAATAATAATAATAATAATAATAATAATAATAATAATAATAATAATAACAGTCATAATAATAGTAATTATAATAATAACTATTACAATATGATTAAACATTAATTAAAAACATTAAAAAAAGAAAAAAAAAAACTAATACATTAAAAAAATTAAAAATAAATTCTGAAATATAATATATTAAAAACATTAAAAAATAAAAACTAATACATTAAAAAAAATTGAAATAAATTCTGAAATAAATAAAACATTAAAAAAAACTAATACATTATAAACATGAAATAAATAAAACATTAAAATAACATATAAGAAGAACAACTTCATAAGAACCTATTACTAAATTCCTCTCTAAGCTTCTTGTACATTTCTACCTCAAATTCATCAAGGTTAGGTTTCATCATCAACATATTTAACATTTTGAACTTCATCTCCTCTTCCTTTTGCCTTTTCCTTTCTTCACCTCGCTCTCGTATTAAGTCAATCATTCGTTCTCCTTGGTCATACCTCTTGTCACTACATTATTCAAGAGTTGTATTGAACGAATCAAGGTTTATAGATGAAGACGAAGAACCAGATTCCATTGCTAGTCTCTTCGTCTTTTTTATGCCATCTGGTCGAGTTTGTGGTTTTTTTACCTTCAACAGTTGGTGATTCTGGTTCAGATCGTTTTGCACTTCCTCCGCTTTCAGCTAGTAATTGCATGACCTCATTCAGATCCCATTTTGGAAAATTTTGCATAACTTCAAAACAATGTTGCAAATGGAAATGTTTACCTTTGTCATTGCAAAAGCATTGTGTGCACGTTTTTCAACATCTGCATCTGATTGTCCACTCTTCAGATGTCGTATCTCGTAACTGTATACCTCTACCCACTTGTTCACATTCGAATTAATGTGATCCCAACGTTGTTGTAAGGACTTAGTATTCCTCCTCTTCTGGAGCTCATCAGGATTTGCAAGTCGTGCTTGTTCGTACAATTTACAAGCTGCATTCCAAAATCCAGCCTTAGTCCTTTTTGTATTTTTTGTAACATTTCCCCCGGCGTTGATGTAAGCCGAAACAAATGCGTTATCCTCTGCTACACTCCTTGAATTCCTCGGCATAGTCTCTTCAGGAGCAACTTCAACGACGTCATCAAGATCCTCTAGATGTTACGCTTCTCGTACCTCTTCAGTTGGAGTTGCGTTCGTGCTACCATCTCCTCTCGGAGAATGGTCCATAGGTTGGGTAAAATGTTGAGACAAGGGAAATAATGGACTATCTTGAGAAAAATGTTGGTGATATTGGGTTGTATCATTTGGATTCATTGGTCTTAGTTGATTACCAAACCATTGTAAGGCAGCTTGAAATTGAGGATTATTGAGTTATCAAAATGAGGATTATTTGAATTATTTTGAGAGTTTGGAATATTTTGAAAATTCAAATTTCTTCTTAAATTTGGATTTTTTCGATCCATATTGAAAGATAAAATATAATGACTTTAATTGAATATGAGTGAGATTAATAGGAAAAGGAGAGAAAATATGGAGAAAATAAAGATTTTGAAAATATGGCAAATTTAGGTTCACTTTATAAAGAAAAAAAAAATATAACTGTTGGTGTTTTTTTTATTTAAAAAAATAAGTTACCGTTTTTTTTATTACCGTTTGAATAATTATAACTGTTGTAACTGTCAACCAATTAGAAAACAACAAATGTCAGCAAAAGCAAGCAACACGTGGGCCCCTGCCAGCCCGGCCGGCCAGCAAGAAGCTGCCACGTTGCACTTGCTGGTCCAGCCTTTTCTTTTGACCTTTTTTTTTTTTTTTTTCCCCACCTTTTCCAATCCCCTTCCCCATCTCTTCTTCCTCTTCCCACGGAGCATTCACCATCTTCCTCTTCCTAAGAGGATTCACCATTTCAACTCTACAATCAAGGGGATTCCTCTTAAGAGTAGAGAGAAGGCTAAGAGGAGGGTAAATCCCTACCATTGTGCATGCTCTTAGGGTTTGGCACTTGGGCCTTTGGGGAGTTTCTAAAAACTGATAGTGTACTCGTAAGTGTTTTTTATTTCGGATATCCGAAATTCAAAATTTGGAAATCCGATCCGATATCCGATTCGAAACTTATTTCGAATCTGATATCCATAATTTTCAAATCGGATGCGAATCGGATTTTTGAATTTTCAGACAGTTTTGCTCAACCCTAACTAAAATCAGACAAAAATGCCTTATATAAAGTACGGAGTAATTGAGCATAATGGTTCGGCAGAAAGAAAACATCCAAACGTTAAAGTTCGTTAATTATGCAACAACAGTAGTTCAATACTCTCAATATTTTTCTTTTTTTTTTATTTTTAGAAATGAACTTGTTGATTAATGTTAGGTTTTCTACTCCGTGATGATCACCAACAAGTAAAATAAAAAATCTTTTCATAGAAAACTACCGTATTACTTACAAGTAGGGGAAAAATTGAAAATCCTACTTGCTTGAAATGAGAATCGAACCCATCTACCCTCTAATAGAGATGGAAGGAGAGCCTCCAACCAACTAAGCTAACCTTTATTCTCTAACCTTATTACTCCCTTTGTCCCTTTATTTTTGCCCCATTGTCAATTTTTGGGTCAAATTTTGAAAACTTTGACCATAAATTATCATTAATCTATTAAATAATATAGTCATAAGTGGTCTTGTTAAATTCGTCTCATCATAAATATTATTAATATCATGTTTTTATATTTTTTACATGCATGAAAATAAGGATATAAACGTTTTAAGACACGCCTTAGAGACTGTGCATAGTCAAATGGGGTAAAAAAAATATGGATAGAGGAAGTACTTACTTTTTAGTATATGCAAGTAAGATATCATCTGTATAATTATTTGATAAATATCAATAACTACCTATCCCATGTATTAGCATTAGACCTGGCAATTCTGATCCAAACCCGATGACCCAACCCAAATAACCCGATCCATGACCCAAAATTGATCTGACTCGACCCGAAAGTGGAGTTGACCCAATCTTGACCCGACACCCAAACCGACCCGACCTGAAGTTGACCCGATATCCGATATGAGCCGACCCGAAATTGACCCGACCTAAAGTTGATTTGAAGTGTTTGACCGTACAAACCCGACACCTAAACGTCTAGAACTTAAATTACCTTATAATTAAACTAAAAATGTCTACCGCCAAAAATGACTCAATTTGTTTGTTCATCTCTAACTGTACCCAATCTCATAAACTGAATTGATAATTCTTATTATGGAGTATAACAATAACAAAATATAAAATTATTGATTTGAGCTTGATCCACAAATGGAACAACACGAACATGACTTGACACAATTTTGACCCGAATATGACCCGAACATGCCCGACCCAAAATTGACCCCACCCGATACTTGACCCGAGTCAAACCCGAAACCCAAATCGTCCCGACCCGACCCGACCCATACCCAAACCAAATGTTAGCTGACCCGAAATTAACCCGACCTAGACCCGACCCGAATGACCCATTTGGCAGGTCTAATTAGCACGGACAAGTTCTAGTTAACCCAAATAACATGGTGTGGACACTCTTCTACGATTTAATAACTAAAACATCATGGAATATCTTCAATAGCAGAGAAACCTCCAACTTACCTTGTAAACTAAATTAAACAGAGCAGATCTTATAAAGATATAATGCTACTCAGCTCATGTAAGGTGTCCCTCTACTTTCATCTTCTTCTACTTTCATTTTATACAAGAAAAGGCAAAATGATTTGTTTAGAAGAGGAGAGACATTTATGAATCCTCTACAGAACAAGTAAACATCAATGACTTCCTTAGTTAGGACAGAATTAATCTCCATAGACTTGCCCGGCGACCATAAGATTGAGGCCACCCCTGCACATATACAGTTGCCTACATTCATCTTATACAAGAAAAAGCAATACATACAGCTACTCAATAACAGATGACGGCTTTATTAAATTTATACCAAACTATAGCACATATGGCAATTAAATTTGAAGCATTAAAGGCGTTAGAAGGCAAAGTCTAAGCCTTTTCTGTAATATTATTGACTCACCTAAATAAGTTTCACAAATTGCAAGCATAACATATCCAAAGAAAAAAATAACTTTACAAAAAGTAGCTTGTACCAACCATGCCTAGCAATACCTACAAATTGTATGAATAGGAAGCAAAGACATACTAATAATCTTATTATGCCACAAATTGAGACAAACAAATTCGAAGACCATTCATTTTTACTCTTTCATTTATCACATCAAAATTGAAGGCTTTTCACATTAGAAGGTTGTTGATTATACAATATTGGTGGTTCAATATTCACTATACTACCTCTAAATTCACAGTATAGATTAGAAATTGATCTCCATTATGTAAATCATAAATACTTTCATAGAAAACTACATTATTAACTTGCTTAAGTCGTAAGACTGTAAGAGATCATTAACCCAAAAATAATCCAGAAATAACATGGTGTGGATACTTTTCTATGTTTTATTCAGTAAAGCATCATGGAATATCTTCAATTAGAGAAGAGTCAAGTAAGGCCACCAAGTACATATAAGGTGTCCAAACTCCCAATCCACGGTTTCTTTCATCTTATACAAGAAAGAATAATTCATACAGCTAATCAATAACAAATGACAGAATTATCGTATTTGAACCCAAATCAAAATTCCTAACTACTTTTATTTATAGAGGAGTGACATAATTATGATTTCTCTCCTAATCATCAACTAACTCTTCTGTTAGAAGAGCATTAATCTCCATTGGCCTGCCCAATGATAAGAGGCTACCCCCAGGTACATACTTCCTCCCATTCCTTCTATTTGCAACACAACCTCAACACAAGCATTTTTAGGAGGTCGTTTGAGTAGGTAAACAAACAACTTGATCAAAATAACTTTAACACCAGGAATGGGGAAGGGTTAGGTGCTACGTGTATAAGAGTGCGCCATTAAGTGTGTTGCCACATATTATACCTTCATCATATACAAGAAAGAACAATGGATACAACTGATACAAGATGATAGCTTTATCAAATTTATACCAAACTATAGCACATATGGCAACAAAAATTGAAACACAACAGGCGTTAGAAGGCAAAAGTCTAAGCCTTTTCTGTATATTATTGAATCACCTAAATAAGTTATACAAATTACAAGCATAACACAACCAAAATAAACTTATCAAAAGTAGGTTGTATCAATGATGCCCAGCAATACCTACGAATTGGAAGCATAAACATATACTAAAAAACCATATCACGCCACAAATCAAGACAAACGAATTCGACAGCCCGTTTCTTTTTGACTCTTTCATTCATCACATCACATCAAAATTGCAAACTCTTTTCAATTTTAATTTTTAAGTAATAAAATTAAATTCATAAATAAAGTCTATCAGCCTTATGAGATCGAATCAAACGGGAACATATCTCTTAATAGCATGCTTCATCCCAACCGTGCATCCGACAAGCAACCCACCAACGGCACCAGCAACAGCAGCAGCCCTCGGACCCGAAGCTGCCTTAAACAGAGCACCGGTAGCAAGCCCAGCAACCACACTATTGATAACATCATCGGTATCCCTCCACTTAACGAGCCCACTCTCAAGTCCAGCATACATGAGGCCAATGACTCCAGCTCGGTTCCCCCACTGGCGACCGGTCAAGCCGGAAGAATTGAGGACTCGATTAACCCGAAGCTTCACGGTGTCGCCCTGCTCCGAAGCACGGACAGCATCAACGAATCCCTTAGCAGCGCCGGAGGAAGCTCCGGCCAAGTAGCCGCAACCGGTGTAGTAGGTGAGATTCTCACCCCAAGATCTGCGCTGTCGGAGTGATTCTTCGTGAAAAAGGAATTCGGGTTGTGTAGGAAGTTGATAGAGCTTCTGGGCCTGGATTTCAAGGTCTTGGTATGGATTGTAGAAACGACGTTGCTCGTGATTTTCGTTTTCTTTTGGTTGATTAAACGCCATTGTTGTGAAGTTTTAGGGTACGAGGAGATGATTGAGGGATTAATTTAGGGTTAGGGTTTTGGAAAAGGTGAATTTCGATTTGGGAAGACGGACTATTCTTTGCAACGAACCCTCGAAGCTTTT